TAATAATAACTAGATTTTATTGAGTTTACTTGTACATCAAAACAACAGTGAAAGAAAAACAATAACATCCTCAGGCGACATCTTCGTTACACTAATAAAAAAGCGGAAAATAAAGGCGGGAAGGAAACATGACTTAATATAGACCAGTTTGTGAAAATAAAAACATTAAATATAGTTGTAGAAAAATTATTATTCTCCATATACCTTCCAAACGCGCGTAGTGACAAGCTGTTCTGACGTCACCACTTTTTATAACCGCTAAATACCCATAATTTTCATCTTATTTGGTCTAATTTCTACTCATTAACTGATTTACCAAAAATTTAAACATGTTTGTGTCTTTATCATTACCTAAGAGTGTGTGGTGCGCGCGTAATCCGACTCCTGGGAGCCCTGTGATTGGCAGACAATTGATCAATCAGCGGCGACCATGGGGGCGCGACGACCAATCACGGGTCAGTTATCTCCCACGTAAATCTTGCCCACTGTTGAGTTTGTGGGGGAAGTTGTTTACGTGTTGTGATGTCTACTATAACAACAACAACAATAATAACAATAATGATAGCAGTAATAATAATGACTAATAATAATAATAATAATAATAATAATAATAATAATAATAGCAGTAATAATAATAATAATAATAATAAAAATAATAATAATAATAATAATAATAATAATAATAATACCAGTAATAATAATACTTATAAAAAAATAATAATAATGACCTTAAAAATAATAATAATACTGCACTAACCTATTGGAGTCTATATAAGTGGTAATTAAAACTTTAATATTTCATTATACTATACGAGAGAGAGAGAGAGAGAGAGAGAGAGAGAGAGAGAGAGAGAGAGAGAGAGAGAGAGAGAGAGAGAGATTCTTCAGCACAGTATTGCCAACTTAAAGACTAAATTAATCCTGTTAGCAGCTGACACAGGATGCTACCAGCTCACACGGTTGCCAGTTTACCATTTCGTGTCCTCACTTATACTACTTTACATATAAATCTAAGTCACTTATTGTTATTCATTATCTACACTAACTAACCTGTAGGTGTGTTGATGCATAATTATTATTGTTTATTATACATTTAAAATTTTGTATTGTGTAAAGGGATAACAAATTATTATTATCATCAATATTATTATTAGTATTTTTATTATTGCTATTATTGTTGTTATTATTATTATTATTACTACTGCTATTATCATTATTATTACTTTTATCATTATTATCATTATTATTATCATTACTATTATTTTTATCATTACTATTATTATTATTATCATCATAGAAATTATTACAGTATTCTCAACAGTGTTACCACGTCCCAGTGTTCCTCCTGCAGTGTTGCCAGTCCCCGAGGTTGATGCTGAACTGCAGTGTTACTAATCCACACAATATTACCTTAACTACAATACTACGATAAATACATTAACTCTTTCCGTTCAGATTCTTAATTCCTTACCATACTTCTCACCTGATTGGCTAATAATGTAGGGACGACCTAACTTGACCTAACCTGACCTAAAATAACCTAACCTAACCACGACCTAACTTGACCTAACCTGACCTAAAATAACCTAACCTAACCACTGCTATATCCGGGCCGCCCCTCACCCCCGCTGGGCAGTAGATCAGATCACCTCTCTAGATGGTGATAGGATTGATGTTATCTTCTTATTGACCCCCGCTGATCAAGGCCCAGGGAGATAGCATCAATTGTCTTCTCTCTGTTTGTTTGTCAGTCAGTCAGTCCGTCCGTGCGTCCTCTTCGTCCGTGCGTCCATAAAATTCGTCCGTCCGTGAATCAGGTGGTACTTATGAATGCGGTAATATGAACAATCAACAACGGGATTTTAACGTATACAAAATGATACCAGACAGACAGACAGACGGACGGACGGACAAATTCTGACGAGACAAAACACACACACACACACACACACACACACACACACACACACACACACACACAGAAACGAACAAGCCAACAGAGACACCAGACTGGAGGTAGACAGGGAGGCACAAGACAGATAGACAGACAGACAGGGGGTGACGGGGGTTTAATAGAGACACAGACAGATTGGGTTGAGCGGCGGCGGCGGTGGTCATAACTAAGCCTCCGCCGCCACCATCACCATTAACACCACTATCATCATCACCATCACCGTTACCACCATCACCATTATCATCACCATCACCACCATCCTGTACCCTATTACTCTCGACACTTCCTATGTTGCTGAGTTTGTGGAGGATAAATGGTGGTATACTTGCAACTTGAGAATACTTAACCTAACCAAACCTAAACTAACCTAAACTAAACTAACCTAACCTAACCTAACCTGACCTAATCTAACCAAACATAATCCTAACCTGACTTGACCTAACCTAATATAACCTAATCCCAGCCTGACTTTACGAAATTTAACCTAATCTAACCTAATCTAACCAAACCAAACAAACTCTCTCCCATTCGCTTCATCACCTAATTTCCACATATAAAACATCCTTAATATATCCCTATATATAAAATTCTCTAATAAAACACATATATATAGTTATTATAAAACACATACAGTATAAAGTTTACAATACATATATAAGCAAATTTTCTCGCCATTTAGGGAAACAAAAGCGAAGTGGAGGTGACAATGGCCGCTAGATGGATGGTGATGATGCTGGTAGTAGTGGTAGTACTGGTGGTAATGGTGGTAGGTAGTGGTCAGCAACAGGAAAAGGTCCATAACTTGGTGGGGGTGTGTTAACGTCTCTCTATATGATGTGTGTAGTACTGTAGACGGGGGAGGTGGGGGATGGGGGGGGGGTGAATTCTGGGTAATGTTGACAAAAGGTCTCGCTCACAGCGTTTCCGACACTCATGAGGGGTTCGTTTTCAGGATCCGGATTCACTCAAGAGATTCGTATACAGCAGCCGGATTCACTCACGGGGTTCGCTTTCAAGAGACACGGGTTCGAGTCTGGTTACGGTCAGTCTCATTAATAATCCGTGACCTAAAAAATTAACCCTTCCATGACCTCAAATAATAAGGTCACCATCTCAAAAGGTCAAAGAGATTCACTAGTGCTAAAAAAAATACACATCAGGTCACTTCTCTTGTGACCTACTAAAGCCCAGATCCCATTTTCTTTACACAAATATGACACGGAGATATAAAAGTGTTATATCAAGTTTATAACGCTAGTCTAAGGCATAACTGTATTGTATTAAGCATCATAAAAATAATAATACAAATCTAAATAAACCTTTACGTAGGAATTCTCAAAAGTTGATAGACAAATCCAGTCCAGTCAATCTCTTAAGGGTTCAACTACGATGGTTTGGTCCTCTCTATACAGGTGTTTATGGTTCAAATTACAGTACACCTGTCTTCATTTATTAACACCTGTAAGTTATAAACCATATCCATATAATATCTTCAGTTCTACATGAATAAATAAATACCTGTATTTTGTACGGTTCCTCAAGGAGGATGCTGTGGCCTCTTGTGTTTAATAATAATAACAACACCAATAATAACAAAAATAGTAATAATAATAATAATAATAATAATAATAATAATAATAATAATAAACAAAAAATAGTAATAATAATCAATGCTAATACTAATTAGGCAGATATGACTTAACGACACCTTGTAACTAATTGGCAAAGACTACGTCACAGAATGCTCAATACGATGTGATTGGTTACAAGTCAGGCGGTTGTCAGTCCCTAAAAGGTCACAAGCTATCATGACCTGACCTTAACAGGCCACAAATTAATATGACTTCTCCTAACCTAACTTGACCAAACCAATCGTAACTTAACCTAACCTAACATAACCTAACCTAACTTGACCTACTTTAACCAAACCAATCGTAACTTAACCTGACATAACCTAACTTGACCTACTTTAACCAAACCAATCGTAACTTAACCTAACCTAACATAACCTAACCTAACATAACCTAACTTGACCTACCTTAACCAAACCAATCGTAACGTAATCTAACCTGACCTAACCTTAACGCTAAGAGGTGGAGGAGGGAAGGAGGGCAGTTGACCTCCCGGCAGTTCAGCACACACACAGGATACTTCAATAGTCTGCTCCTGTTTAAATGTCACCTCCTTGTCGTCCAAAAAATGCCACCACGTTATTATTATTTTTATTTTCACTCATTATTATTATTATCAGCTACTCATCCTATTATTAGTAGTATTAACCATTTATACCTATTATTATTATTTATACTACAGTAGTCATATTATTATTATTATTATTATTATTATTATTATTATTATTATTATTATGAGTTTCCTTAGTTAAAACGCCTCCCAGTTTCTGTTGATGGTGAACTAAAGTCAACTTGCACCATGACTTACTCAACAAAATATCTACCTATCTGTTATCTATCTATCTACCTAGTACACCTAACATAAAAACTCATTATCTATTACATTATACAAGAAGTCAACAACCTAACCTAACCTAACTTAACGTATCGTAACCTCTTACCATTTTTATTTACACACCTGGTAAGATTATTAAAAAAGTATAACAGATTCTCACAGCCTCAAGTTAACTGTGTGTGTGTGTGTGTGTGTGTGTGTGTGTGTGTGTGTGTGTCTGTGTGTGTGTGTGTGTGTGTGTGTGTGTGTGTGTGTGTGTGTACTTCACAGCGCCGCCGCCACTACCTATGTGAGATTGACGCAGTGTTTGAGGGGGCCGGCCGGTGTCCATGGTCTGCTGGATTCTCAAAGCTTCGTACACCAAATTTTCCCCTTCCTCTCTCTCCCTTCCCTTATCTCTCCTCCCTCCCTTCCCCTACCGCTCTCTCTCCCTCTTATAGGAGACGTGTGAACGCATCTGCCTGTCTCAGTCAAACCCAGGACACACAAAGATGGCCGTCGAGCCAGCACTGTGACTATACCTGATGTCTGCCCTTCATACACTCGGAAGGACAGACCACAAAAAACACACAACACTTACGAACGAATCTTTTGAGAATGGTTGAGGCAGGAAAGGGGTGCTTGGTGTCCCGCAAGGTAGGTTCTGGCTGCCCTAGGTGGTAATGATGGTGAGGGCGATGGTGGCTGATGAGTGATTTCCTTATTATCGAAGGGTTGGCTGGGTGGCTGGGAGGGAGGGAGGGAGGGAGAGCGACGCAGCTTCAACTCACCCCCTTCTCCCCTCCCCTCCCCTCCCCCTGGTGCTGGGGCCAGACGAAGCGACGCTCACCCATCTCATGAATGGAGGAGGAAGCAACACGTGTTTATGTTTATTGTGGGGGATGAATTTAATTGACACTACTGAACTGAGGAGGAGAAAATCAAGAGAACCTCCAGCCACCTGTTGGAGCACCACACCACCAACACAGACGCAGCGAGGTGACAAACGTGATGCGCAATACAGCCAGACAACACACACACACACACACACTTCCAGGACACCGTCAGTAGTCTCCCTCCCTCACAGCACCATCTATTATCTTGTAGGAGGTGTTTGTGTGTGGTAGAGGAGCCACAAGAGGCGGCCATCATAACGAGTGAACCAGTCCGAGGTGTAGGGGGAAGAAGAGAGGCTGGGTCGAACGAGGCCCTCTCCTCCACCCAACGCACCCACCGGATACACTCGTTACTGCCCACATTGTCGCCCTCCCACCCACACCTCCCTCTCTCCCTCCCACCCACACCTCTCTCTCCCTCCCACCCACACCTCCCTCTCACCCCCCTCTCTCTCTCTCTCCTACGGCTCTCTCATTGACCAACTTGGAGCAGTGATTTGTCATTTACTACCGGATGACTCCATCAGGCTGTCCACCCCTTTTTCTAAACTTTAAATGGCCGCCACTCACCCTCACACACCCAGCAGTTTTAAATACTGACTATACTGTAGCTTCATTCACCACCCAGTCGCTCCCCCACACACCCAGCCGCTCCCCCACACACCCACCAGCCGCTCCCCCCTACAACCTTCGTGTACCGTGCCATTACGCGACCAAAATATACCATTATATACGCTTATGTACTCTCTCTCTCTCTCTCTCTCTCTCTCTCTCTCTCTCTCTCTCTCTCTCACACCTATACTACAAAGAGTGAGACTTTTGAATGTACACAAACAAAACTCAACATACATACATACATTACCACCGAATAACGTACAAGAAACATTCATTTAGCTGTGTGTGCGCGCGCGTGTGTGTGTGTGTGTGTGTGTGTGTGTGTGTGTGTGTGTGTGTGTGTGTGTGTTTTAGCTGGGAACAATATGAAGTTTGATTGAATTAATTTTCTGTGAGTAAATGTGAAGTATACCTGTAACCTGTTAAGTACCTGTAACCTGTTAACTACCTGTAACCTGTTAACTACCTGTACCTGTTAACTACCTGTATTACCTGTATAAATAAACACATACAGTTGCCTACAGGTATTCGTACACAATAAAGGTTCTTCCGTGGGTCAAATTATATATCTGGTAACACTTGATCAGACACCTCGACACACGCAGTTGAGCAGTGTTACCAGATCCATTAGGGCGTAGTAACCTGTGATGTGGGCGACTGTACCTGTATACCTGTATACCTGTACCCGTAACTCTACCTCCACATCAGTTTCAGATTTTGTCTTCGTATTTTGGTATTTTATTTATGTTCTTTTAACACACGTATATATTAATTAGACTTAAGGTGTTGGGAGGTTAATTACTGTATGTACACCTGTTGATGTGTACATATCATCAACAGGTGTTAGACGCTGTGTACACCTGCTAATGTGTACATATCATCAACAGGTGTTAGCAGCTGTGTACACCTGTTGAGGTGTACATATCAACAGGTGTTAGTGGCTGTGTACACCTGCTAATGTGTACATATCATGTACAGGTGTTAGCAGCCGTGTACACCTGTTAATGTGTACATATATGCCGATCAACAGGTGTGAGGAGGCAATTAAGTACACCTGGACGAAGCTTTTGAGTCTCGTCAGCTGGTGTGTGTGTGACAATGGCGCCTCTAAACTGTTAATTGCGTTACTATTGTGGTAGTCTGACGCTTCCCCTCACCTCTCATCCTTCCCCTCACCTCTCATCCTTCCCCTCACCTTCCACCCTTCCCCTCACCTCTCTATCCTTCCCCTCACCTCTCCACCCTTCCCCTCACCTCTCCACATCCTTCCCCCACACCTTTCACCATTCCTCACCTCTCCACCCTTCCCCTCACCTCTCCACCCCTTCCTCCTCTCTATCCTTCCCTCACCTTTCACCCTTCCCCTCCTCTCACCCTTTCCTCACCTCTCACCCTTCCCTCACCTCTCATCCTTCCCTCCCACCCCTTTTCACCTTCCCCTCCTCCCTCCACCCCTTCCCCTCACCTCTCTGCCCCTTCCCTCACCCCTCCACCCCTTTCCCTCACCTCCCACCTTCCCCTCACCTCTCCACCTCCCCTCCACCTCCCCACCCCTTCCCTCACCTGTCACCCTTTCCCTCTCACCTCTCATCACCTCCCTTCCTCCCCATTCCTTCCATTTCGCCCCTCCTGCTCCTCCCCCTTTGTCGTCACCCCCTCATACTCCCTACCCACACCTTTTTCCCCCTCACTACCCCTCCACCTTTCCCCTCATCGCTCCTACCCTTACCTCCACCCTTTCCCCTCCCCTATCTCCACTACCCTTCCTCCCCTCCCTCCCCACCCCCTTCTATCTACCTCAGATAGATAGATATAGATACTCAAATAGATACGGCATATAAGCAATAGTAAACGTAACAAAAACAAACAATAACAACAACAACCAGAAGTAACAACAAAAACAAACAATAACAACAACAACCAGAAGTAACAACAAAAACAGAAGCTAAGTTAAATTCACTAAAAATTAACCATTTATTGAAATTCTTCCTTACACTTGGCTACAGTATTCATCCATGTATGTATGTACAGTATGTATTTCAACCTAACTATATAATCAACTGTATTACTTCATCTATCTGGTATATATATATATATATATATATATATATATATATATATATATATATATATATATATATATATTGATAAAATCACACCGGGAAAAGGGAAACAATGGGGCACCTTAGCTTTCGTCTTTATTCAAGACATCTTCCAGATGTCTTGAATAAAACAACTAAATTCCAAATGACCTATCAAACTATCTCATCACGTTTTTATTTGTGGATTTACATGAAATATATATATATATATATATATATATATATATATATATATATATATATATATATATATATATATATATATATATATATATATATAAAATTAAACCCAAAATAATACAGAAATTAATTGCTATCACTAACACTACTCCCAAGAGATAGAGAGATAAGTGTTTACATACAAATGGTAGAAAACTTTGTAAACAAGGAAGGTCGACAATACACTAGTAACCCCTCCACCCGTTCTCTCTCATGTTTTCCCGCCAAAAGAAACTCCCGCGCAATATTTCAATTATTGTCTTGTGTTACCTTACCTTACCTTACCTAACCTAACCTAACGTAACCTAACCTAATCTAACCTACTCTAATGCCCCCAGGTAGCCTTAGGGTGTCTATTCTTCAGGTGAAATAAGCTAGGGTGTTTAATCTTAAGGTGATTGGCCAATATCTACCGTACGGAAATCTGACGAGCTGCTTCAGATTAACCGTATGTGAATCACCGGGATTTACCATGTGAGGCTTCTTAATCCCATCCACCACTAAACCTATTAAATCCGAAATCCTACTTTTAGTGACCAGGGAGAGAAGTCAGGAGGAAATTCTTACCTCCTCCCCTCATCTCCTTCCTGTCTTCCGCCCTCACCTAACCCCCTCTAACCCCTCACCGACTCCTCTTAAGTCTCTATGATAAATAACACTTTTCCTTCCTTAAATCCCATCTGCTCTCTCTCTCTCTGTCTCCCTCTTAGGTTAGCTTAGAGTTTAATCATCAGGTGAAACAAACTGGGGTGCCTAATCTTCAGGTGACCCCCGAGGAGAGAGAGAGAGAGAGAGAGAGAGAGAGAGAGAGAGAGAGAGAGAGAGAGACCTTCCACGAGTACAGTAAAGGATGCAGCGTGGTCGTTCATGTCAACAGAGAAGAGACGGCTCCTGAGCATCACACATAACCTCATCACCAGCTATGGGCACCACACCACGGCCAGCTAGCTGTATGGCCTTCACAAGTGAGAGGAGTTCATGTCTGACAAAAATTGTTTAACTGTTTTCAATTCAGTGGATGATGGGCACGATTATGTGGAAGGAAATATTCTAAAATGGATTAGTGCGTGGTTACAGGATAGGAAACAGCGAGTGAGCATTAACGGCACTAAATCCGATTGGAGTAACGTCACTAGTGGAGTACCCCAAGGTTCAGTACTTGGACCATTACTATTTATTATATACATAAACGACATAGATATAGGCGTGGACAGCGACATAAGTAAATTTGCTGATGACACTAAATAAGTATAATTAAATCTGACAGGACTTAAAACTACAGGAAGATCTAAAAAAAAAATCGCATGGTCTGAAAAATGGCAGATGAAATTCAATATGGACAAATGTAAAGTACTTAGTCCTAGGAGATGAAAACAAAACCAGATTAGGTTAGGTTGGATAAAGTAAGATTGGATTTAATTAAACTAACTCGGGTTAACTTTATCGTCAAGTCATAGCTCCAGTCACACACACACACACACACTAAACTGCACTTGCAACACTATCACTATGTATGTATGTATGTATGTATGTATGTATGTATTCATGTATGACTAATTCTCGAGACAATTAACCAAGGAACAGAGACATAAATACCAAACTAATCTACATTAATTAATTGTGATCAGAAGACTAATTCAATATAAACAGATACGTAACTAAGCAACCGGAGAGAGAGAGAGAGAGAGAGAGAGAGAGAGAGAGAGTACTTTCTAATTTCGACATGTACTGTACGTTTTTCTATACGTTCACCTACAGTAGTACAGCACATTACATAAGAACACTGTAGTCAAAGTATTACCGTGTAGACGAATGTTTGCCATGCCCGCGTCTGAGTGTGTTTTCATCTTTGACTTAATACAGACGTGCCTGAAAAAGACTTACTTCTTATACAAATGATCTCTCT